AGAAGCGTACAATCGATGCGCGTTGATGGTTCGTTCGTTCGTTACGTGATTTTTCACCCTTTTGGCGCGTGTACGTGCACCTTTCTTCCAAAGTTTAAATTTCATCCAAAAGCAAAAGTAGTTGGGTCTTTATTGTAGCACTTGCCGGGACGAAAACTTGCCTTCCGACTTTGACCAAAGCCTGAATCGAGGATTCAGGCGTAAAAGTGAAGGGACGGAAAGCAGGTTTCTAGCTTCCGACGTAAGTCGTACGTTTACTTTTCTCCTTCGTCGCTTCTTTTACCTCTCTTGCGAGTCTTGTTTTAGGAAAGTCGGCTCGAAAAACTGCGCAAACATGCCTACTTTCTAGACGGAGCTAGCCGTCAGAAATTCATTTGCAAACGAATTTTCTTCGCGGATGAGTGCTACAAACGAATATAACGAGATACGCTCGCCTTTCATCTCGTGCGTATCCCACGCAGCAGAAGCGAACCACGCGTATAAGCACAATCAAGACCCAAGTTCTACCAGCTGAATGGTGTGTTCCACGACTCTCGACGAGCGGGAGACACCGGGCGATAAAAGCAATCGAAATCGATCCGAGGCAAACAACAGTCCATGCCAACGTGAAACCATGATGCTGCGAAACCATGATGCGCCGAACATCCCGCTTTGCTGGTGCAAACGGAGATTAGGAAAGCGTGACACGAACACGTTACCGTGGACTCACCGTTGAAGAAGGTTCTAGCTTTTCTACCGGGTATTAAGTCCTGGCTCAGACGTATCTTTATTACGTGTTCCCTTGCGTACCGGCGAACTTTATCGAGTAGCGTCGCGTCCGGCCGGTCGTTACCTTTTTCGTCTTTCCTGGCGACCACGTCCTGGTTTCTTACGATCTGCACCGTGTCGGTCACGTTGTACGTGTCGATCCTGGACAATTTGTCGAGCAAGTCGGACAGATCCTTCGTCGTCGTCGTCGTCTCACCGTTCTGACACTCGGTCGAGTCCAACGGAGACGCGGTCGCGTTTTCCATTCGCGTCGCCTCGATCTGATACTGCGACTTATCGTCCGTCTGTATCATCTGGTTAACGTTCGTGTCGAGTTTCGTCGGTTTACCGGAGATCGTGTGCGGATGCTGGTCCAACTCGTCACTGGTGAACGACACCTCGTTCTCCACGGAGTCCGCCAGCGCCGAGCCGTGATGACCGGTCACGTTCAATGCCGCCACGTGGTCCTTGACCCCGGAAAGCGCCAGCCGGAACCACGCGACCGTCAAGATCAACAAGATCGCGCTGCCTCTCGATCCACCCATGTTCCCCCGACTTACAACGCGTCTCGCGCAACTATCTCTTTCTCTCTCTCTCTCTCTCTCTCGCGCGCGCGCTCTCTTGACTAGCTTCTCTTATTGCCAAAAGATAACTGCATCTCGGTGCGCGACGCTCGCTCGATGTCCCCTGAAATAATAAAAGCAACGCGATTTCTCGTACAACGGATCTTTGAACCAGGATAGGCCGGCCGTGTAACAGACGCTATCTACCTGCCAGTCAATAATTACCGTGAGCAAGTTCTTCTTCTTGGAAGTCAGGAAACTTAATTAATAATCGCAGGCTCGCGATCGTTCGTCGGAGAACGATCTCTTGTTCGACGCGACACCAGTTACGCGAGACTGCCCTTCGCTTTCACTGTCACGACCGGTAAATGACATGAAAGAACTTGATCGGATTAGATCAATCGGCTCGGTGGAGATCGGTGGAGTCTTCGCGAACGCGACAGATTCGGATACAGTGTCGTTTACTAGAATCGTTGCACTGCAGCGACACGCTGATGACTGAAACGACGAGGAGGAACGTCGAGATCGTGCGCGGCCGTCGACTCGATGCGACTGCCGAGTCTCCGTAGGATCGGCTCGGCTGATCCGATCTGGGTTACCCGGCCATCCATCTGTCCGTCCCTATGTCCGTTCCTTTCCACCTTCCTCGCTTCCACCGTCCGTTCATTCGTCGGTTATGCTCCCGCCACGATAGCCTCGTCTCTCTCTTTCGCGCTAGGTAGACGCTCGATGTCCTCCGCCGATTCAAATCCGATCAAATTTTAACGCCGGTCTAACGAGCGCCGAGCCGATTTCACTGGCCGAAATTTC